CTTTGCTGTGAGAGTGCCAGAGCCCTGGGCCAGGCTGCCCAGAGAGGCTGTGGAGTCTCCTTCTCTGGAGACATTCCAACCCCCCTGGACACGTTCCTGTGTGATGTGCTCTGGGTGCCCCTGCTCTGGCAGGGGGGCTGGGCTGGGGGAGCTTTCCAGGTCTTTCCCAACCCTTGGGATTCTGTGATGCTGTGATTCTGTGATGATGATGCTGGGAAGGGGCACAGGGGCAGATAAGGGGATGGCTCAGAGACCCAGCTGAATTATTTGGGGTTGCTTCTCTCCTCCAGGGAGCAGTGGGGAGGCTCCGTGTCCCATCCTCATGCAGGCAGGCGATCAGCTCGGGGTGGGGGTCTTGGCTGTGGGGAGAAAGGAGGGGGGGTCCCCTGAGCTGACCCTGCTTGTCTCTTACACAGGCCGTTTGCTGAAATCTGCACTGAGGCCAAACAGACAGGTAAGAGGAGGGCCAAGAAGTAACCGTGGCTTTCCCTGCCCTCTGGTGGGGAGAACAGATGGGAAACAGGGATGGGTGTCCTGGGGAGGCCTCCAGACCTCCTGCATCCCTGGGGGAGGCTGGGGAGAAGGTCCTGCCTGGAAAAAGACAAGTCAGGCTCAGCATCTCTTCAGGGGCAAACCATCCTCTTAGACCTCTGCTCTTCTGTGAGCTGGGAAGAGGTTGGGCTGTTAGACTCCAACTTTCAGCATGTTCTGGAGGATTTGATTATCCCTTTCCCATTAGCAATTTACTCCCCATGAACAATTTATTCCCTGCTTAAAGCCCTTCATTTGAGCCATCATTTAGCAGTCGAGCTTCTCAGGAAACAAGGTTTCTGTGATCAGTGCCAATGTGTTTCTCTCATCCTCCCCAATAAATCCCAGCCAGTTTTAATCAAATGTGTCAGAATTAGCAGCCCCAGAGATAATTAGGATCCTATTAGTTTGATGAAAATAGGTGGCCAGGTAGAGGAGAGAAAGCTAGTGAGCAAGAGCATGATGTAAAAAGAGATGCACCAGAAACCTTATCTATGCAGATAGAGATGGGTCCCTGCTGGATTCCCTAGGGCTGTGAAGGTGCCAGCTCTGCTGATTGATTTGCCCAAGTCTGTGGGACATCAGGCTCTGTCTGAGATGGATTTTGGGATTGGCTTGTTTGGGTGGATTTTCTTCCCTTGTGCCTGGGT